CGGTTTGTTAGAATAGTTAAGTCAAATAACTAGGTTCTTTGACACGTAAAAATGGGTAAGACACAATTCATCTTTTCCCCTCCTCTAGTGCCTATGTACAAGCTAAAATAACTGAAGTCTCTTAAGGAAGTACAAAGATTAAGTACTATTATACTTACACCGATGGAGTTTAGAAAATCCTATACCTTCTCATCTATGTTCTTTATCTTCTAATCAGATTGCCTGGCTTCGTTCAAACCCTACATGAAGGGCTTGCTTTCTTTGAAAATATTTTTTTTCTAATTAAGTGTCCTTCAAGAAGCTCAACTCCTCCAAATAGTAAGATTCACTTAACTTCATATATACCTCTAAGCGCCCATGACTATCATCAGACATTCACTTCGCTTTCCTTTTAGATTGAAAAGGAAAAACAGAAAGATTGAGTATAATAAATATAGAGAATGAGCTATTATGTGTAAACTATGCAAAGGTTCTTTGGATACTTTTGGAAAAAAAATAGAAAAAAAAACAAAAATATTTCTTCACGCCCTTACAAAGTAGTGATGAGTTAAATTACTTGTGTTAGCATGAAAGCATGTCCGGTGATGCAATCGTTAGGGGCGGATTTACCTTAGGCTAAGTGGTGTCACGTGATAACGCTTCGCCGGAAAATTTCACTAAATACACATATAAATGATATGCAAAAAATAACAACAACAACTCAGTGTAATCCCGCAAGTGGGGATATGCAAAAAATAACAAATCCTTATAAATAATATAGAATGACACCACTTGGTAAATCTGTGTTGCTTGGTCCGCTGGTTAAGGTGCTGCAATTCTCGAGTTTGGTTCTCGGGTACGAGCCCAAACCAACACAGTTTTGTTTTTTTTAAGTTTTACCGTCCCTTAGCATCTTTAAAAATGAATGATATGATCTAAATTTTTTTTTTTTTTTTTTTTTTTTTTTGCGATGTCGTTTTAAAATTTATTTATTTACTCTTTTAAATGTAACACTGCTCATAAAAAATCATACATACGCTATTGGCGGTCGTTACTTACGTATCATGGATCGTCGGCTAACCGTTGGACTCTAGGGTCCAATATAAAGGGGCTTCTTCACCAACCAACATATATACGTGCGCGCATATACCTGGATAATTAGTTGTACTTGGTTTCCGACTCGACCCTTCGCTCTTAGCCCTTAACATCTTTTGTTGCTTGTAATTGTGTCCTCAGACCTTCCAAATTTGGAAGCTTATTAGTGATTATCAATAAGATCTTCACAATTTTCAATCTATAAATTATCTGTAACAATTTAACTTCAAGTGTCCCGTGTTTCGGGATTTTAAATTATTCTTCCAAACCGCCGTCAGTACAAAACAAAAAACATATAGATAGCACCAAACAATTGGGGTTGGAATAAATAAAATATCTATACCGAGCGTCAATTGGTTTTGTAGGCATTACAAAGAAACTTATGGCCGGAACTTACTTGACTAGTAATGGATAAATTATTCCTGGAAATTTTGGACCATTGATCCAATGCATAGGGTTCCCACTTGTGGTCTTTTGTTAGGGGTGGGGAGAAGAGATATAAAGCAGAGGGTCCTAGAGAATTAAATGCAACTACTCACTTTCTCGGTACTATTCATACATTGAGGGAGCAACCACTTCATAAACAAGGCACGTGGAAACTTTTCAGAGGAGTTTTGTGCTTTTTGGTAGGGCCAATAAGATGGCATAAAATCACAGGTTCACGTGCCTAGCCCGTGATTCATTGAAGGGCAGAGTGTCCTTTCGTGGGGACATTAAAATATAAATGGACCTTAACTCCATTTGGGGACAATGGTTAAAGATTTGCAAGGATTTTGTGAGAGAAAACTGAGTGCCCACCTTTTCATTTCATGGTAAAGTTTGTGTGATTGGGATACCTCTTCAAAAAGTCATCGATTTCAAGTCAAACTGGTATGTTTCGTGATAGCTGTGGCTTACCGAAAACTACACATTACTAATTTAACATAACTAGCTAGTAGTATAATGTTTAGTTCTATATATCAAACGTTGAACTGCTAATAGTGGCAAAATTTGAAGTATATTATTTCAAGCGAGCTACAATATAAAATAAAAAGATATATGTATCGACATTATGTGAATATCCGAACGAAATGTCCTTAAAGTAGGCAATATAATTCAACCATACAACCATGTGTTATTCATAATATAACAATTCTTACATTATTGTTCACTATATAACAAATGTTACATTATTATTTATCGCAATATAAATCGTGGATTAATCTTACTTAGATAGTTCATAATTACACAATCTATTGAAGACTGAAGTATAGATATAGTTATAATGTACGCCGTTCAAAATAGTAAATTTTCAGACTAGTTAGAAAAGTTAAGTTTATTTTTCGTGAAAATATAAAATTTCATATATCATAAATTGATCACCTTTGATAGTACTGTTGGTTTTTGCTTATAAAGACCCTTGGACGCTGGGTAGCACATGTATTTGCCTTTTCATTTCAATCAAAACACTCTGCTGAACTGAAGAAAGGTATGTCACCGCAGCTAAACTTGGTTGGCAAGAATAAATTCTTCTGATAGGAATTGATTCCTCATTACCTAAAGTAAGTAATGTTACCCTAAATGTCGAATAATAGAAACATCGAAGGTCACACTGTATATATGAAACAAAAGGGTAGCCGGTTTAATTTACACACTAAACAGTTCTAGCATTAATTAAAATATAACAACTAATCCACATATATAAATACATTATTAATGTTGAGTTTTGCTAGTGGATCACCAAGCAATACGATGAGATGCTTGAATTCTTTCGCCCTTAATCAAAAGTCTAGCGTATTGGTGTCCGAAAGTAAAAATAGATAATTTCTTGATGGGCAAAGTTTTACCCATGTTAATGGTCATACTTGTCGCAAATCCGAGTTGGCCAAGCCAGTGAATTTTGGACATCGGGTTATGGGGCGTAAAGCAAAAACTTTATTTGATCTATTTGCATGCATCCGCTCATTTAAAAACTTTAATTGTTAGTGACTAAACAATTTTTACTTTTTCATGTTAGGTTTCTTAAAAAATCATATTATATACATAAACCCCTAGTCTTTGATTAAGATAAAAATGTACTATAACTTATCTACGCTACCGTACAAGAGAGGTATTTGATGTGTATAAGAAAATGATGAAACATATATTTGATAGTACCATAGCCAAAAGTACAAAAGGAAAGAGTAAGAGAATGGCATGAAATGACTTTTTGAGAGGCAGTTCAGAAAGAGGACTATTACTTCCTCTTAAGAGTAGAACAGAAGATGCGGATTCTCCATAAAAAGGAAACAGAAATTTGAAAAATGAAGCTCTCTAAGGTAAGCAACGGTATCTTCTGAGAGATGAGTAAGGTACGTACACTGCAGACTAGCAGTCAATCAAAGGACCAATTCTCCTCAGAATTCCAACACCTTAACACAGTATGATCTTGTACTTATTATTATTTCTTACCAAATTTGTACAATCAAATTCGATTTACCAATGTTTTGAATCTTTTGATCCAGATAATTTCCAGTCCTTTAACCAGTATCCGAAGTCCACTAGTCCATCTAATCTGAATTCGTCCCCGTGTAGGCCAACTGAGTATTAAACGCTAACTACAGGCAGTTTTTAGTTTAATATTACTCCACTATTTACTGGTGCAAAACTATTGAAGGCATGAAAATGAAAATAGTCTGACCCAAAAGCAATAAGACAAACAGCAATGCTGCAGCAAAACTGGAAAACACACTGGCTAGTGGAAATGTTTAGGTGAAAAATGATGACATAATTATTTCCAGTGACATGAATCTCCTGTATGGTATGTCAATAACATCGTCAACTTGTAATACCTTACCGTCCAAAAGAAATTGGAAATTCCTTTCTGGGCTCGATTCACTTGTTGAAAAATACAAAATCAAAACATATGCATAAATAAGCATAATGCATGTGCGTGTGTGTTTGTTCATTTAACAGTAGGATATATATATATATATATATATATATATATATATATATATATATATATATATATATATTGCTGAACGGAGCTACCACGCAAGAAAGGATTTTTCATACGCACCATTTCTTTTTAACTCGTACCTCCAAGACATTTCTTATTTTCTTCGCTTTAATATTGTTTGAACTATAGAAGGAAGTCTTGAATAGTTAGAACTTAGATGTATTATCCGCATATATGATCAGGCATAACTTGGGGCAAGTAAATGAAGTGATACATCTTTTGGCTAAGGAAGCTTCCAGGCAGCTAGAGTAGTGTATTTTGCAACTCCTATCTTTTTGTTAAATCTACGGGAAGAAGTGATGTTTTGTGTTAAACATATATCAGCTAATACATGTATTATGTTATCTTTGTAATCCCCCTCACGGCACTTTTCTGAAATACAACACAATTCAGACTTCTGTCCGGGTAACTTTATGAAAACTTTATATGTATCATGAATTGGTAACAAGCCACTATAGAACCATTCATATAAAATTCTAAGTAATATTTAATTTGTATACATCGAGAGTAACAACAGCAACCACCCAGTAGAATCCCACGAATAGAGTCTAGGAAGGGTAATGTGTACGCAAACTTTGAAAGTATAAATAATTTTATACTATGAGTGTATTTTAACTTGTGGTAACGGATTAATTACATGCTTTCAGAAGTGAAGTTGAACTCAAAATTCGAAGAGCAACGGTAAGCTCCTGCAATTGAGAATTTATAGGCCTGTTTCTACAACCCTACTGGGTACTGAAGTAAACACCACAAATGAGGAGAATGGTTGCATCTGATTCTTTTCTTTCAGAAGAGAACAATTAGGAGTTGAAGATACAACCAAGGGGCAAAGAGGGCCTCTACAAAGAAAGGGAAGATGCTTAACACATTCCATGCAAGTCAAATTCTGTAAGGAGCTAGGATTTTTCATTAAGGGAATAGAAAATAAAAAAAGTAAGCACACATCTATCAATGGAGTATAATTTTTCAGTGAAGGCCAGGGTGTCCCTCAGATAAGTGCACACTTTTATTCACTTAATTATATCTTCAATAAAAGCAAACATTGCAAATCCCAAAGAAACAAATTCAAGCAACATGAGCTCCCGCAAAGGAGCTAGTTCCAATGTTCTGGACATCCTTCTTCATCTCCTTCCTCCTTAAGTTGCTCTTGTTCGGACAAGAACCCGAATTCAGAATTTCGAACATGCATGAAGTCCAAAGTCAAATTTCCCGCAGCATCATTGGCACGTCCCCAACCATTCGACTTGAGGACTACATGTTCGCGGTTATGATCAGTTGAACTTCGATTTTTTAGTTGGATGCTCAGATTCTCCATCGGATAATGCTGGTGCCTATGCCAATCTTTGTCAATGATAAGCTGTTGATCTAGACGTGTTGCTCTACTTTCAGCAATCAGCTCATTAATAGTGGCACTACATCTTGCTGGGAGATTGCCCTTTGATATCCATGAATCATTCTTGGGTGACAGAAGAGAGTGAGCACGTCCTTCATTTACTGCTAAGTTCCGATAATTACCTGCTATTGGATTTGTTTTGTTGGGACGTACAAAGTAAGCTAGAGTTAAAGTAAAAGATAGTGCAGTCTTCTCCAGGGAGCAAGCTAAGGTCATATCTTGCTTGAGAAGTGATATCCATTTAGCGAGAGTACCAGTTATATAAAGAAGAAATTAATTTCTATGCACTCAAACTGTAAAACTAATTTGCATAATCACATCACTTATTAAGTAATAGATAAGTCATTACTTAGTAATTGATAATCTAGTAAAAATGGCAACTTGCTACCACGGTTTAATATTCATTGATAGTAAAAAAAAAAAGTAAAATTATTTACATAGTTAGTGTTTACTCCCTCCGTTCATTTTTACTTGGCACGTTTTGACTTTTCACACCCCTTAAGAAATAATAAATGAAGTGCATAATTTATCATGATATCCATATTAATTGATGCATATATTTTATTGGATTTGAGAAAAGGATTTGAAATGAGTAATAAATAATGTGGGTATAACAGGAAAAACAAATTGTCTTATCTTGATATGCGTAAAGTGACAAGTAAAAATAAAAATCTATTTTTAGTATACATGTCAAGTAAAAGTGAACGTAGAGAGCATATAACTTAAATCTTTTAAAGAATACATCAGGCAAAGGAACAATCATGCATGATTGAATTCAATGAGACAGAATTTTTAGTTTATGGGTTTTGAACCGTAATTGTTTTTACTTATTGTATTCTAAATAAATTATTTATATATATTATATAATTTTTTAATATAAATATATAGTTTGAATTAAAACTAATCGAATCCGTAGCTATAACAGTGGCTGCGCCTCCTGCAAACAGCGTCACACAATGTTTGCATGTGACGCAGGGGCGGATATAGCATAAATGTACAAATGTACGTGTAAAAATACTCTTAAACCAACAAATTGTAGAGATCCGCCTTTTGTGATGAATTGCAGCTCAAGATGGCTCTTTATGTAAGAATAGTCTAAGCCACCAAAAATAAAATAAATTTGGAAGAAGAGCTGTTAAACGAGAAAATATATTAATCGAGATGGTAAGTCTGAAAAAATTAACAAACGACAAAAGATATCACACAGTAATTTTGGAGTTTTTAAAATTTTTGAAAAATTTCGAAAAACAATATTTGTGAAATTTAAAATTTTTACGGCTGATTCCGGAAAAAGTTAAAAAAATTCAAAAAGATACTTTATCTTCACAAGTTTCCAACTTCCTATATATTCTGCATGCTTGCTCCAGCCAAAATTAACTGTTTGTTTATCAACTGACTCATTCTTTTAATTTCAAACTTGAAATATGTAATTTGAAAAGTAGATTTTAGGAGTTTTAAATAGATTTGAAAAATAAATTTAAATTTTTATTCACAAAATTTCAATTCTGTTTTCACGTCCAAATAACGTATCAACTTTTAAATATTCTTTTTCAACTTAACTTAAATGGGGGAATCAAACACTCGTTCAAACATAGATTGGCTATTTTTTTCAAAGAATAAAATTAAAAATATTGTTTGTTTATTAAATTTGATCAGTTTTTTTTAAAAAAAATTTGAATTCCCAAAAACTTGTTTAGAATAGTATCTGGGTGAAACTTTTTCTTGCACTCATAAAACTTTAAATTCTTTTCAAATTAAATGCACTTCCAAACACAACTTCAACTTTCAAATATTATTTTTCAACACAATTTCAAAAAAATAAATTCAAGTTTCAACCAAATTTATGTCCAAACACTAGCATAGTAATCCAGTTGGTTGGCTACCTAAACTTTCACTTTATTGGTGAGGATTTTATTCCCTACCTTGCAATCCCCTCCCGCATTTTCTCTTCCCCTATACCCTATATATAATTTTTTTTAAAACTAACTTCAAATGTTATTTTTTTTTTAAAAAAATTCAACCAATTCATGTCCAAACGCTATAAGCAAATAAATATATATTCTGTTTACTGCTTAAACTTTTAGATAAAATTGTTACACACACAAAAAATAAAAAAAATAAAAAAGGTCTGCTTCCACTTCTCTTTTCCTCTGTTATTGGGTAAACGAGGGAGGGGTGAAAAAGGATAGGAAGTGTTACCTTGAGAGGGGTTTCTGGTGTTAGTGTAATGATCTTGAGAGCTTTTTCTTCTTCTCTCATTATGTCCTGCTAATCTCCTCCTGCAACTCCTCTTTGACTCATCAAACTCACTCACTAAATGAAACCTTCATTTATAATTAATTCCAAAAAACAATAATCATCAGCAGAAAACATTACTTCCGGATCTACTATGGGTAGACATGATACATGTATACATGGGCTAATTAAGACAAATACAAAGATTATGAGATGTTGGTGTAACTGCTATATCCTATCAACATGAGTACCGGATAGTTTTACCTCAGGGAAATTAAATGTGAATAAAATATTGAAGAAGTTGGGAAAATTCTTATAAGTAACCCATTTTAAAAGTCAAAGAAGTAAAAACAAAGAAGCTCTTAATCTCAAATTTAAGTATCATTGTATTTTAGTACTTGACACATTTTCCAAGTTAGTAATATTGCTTTTTATGGATGGTTTTTTTTTTTTTTTTTTTTAAAACTAGTATCCTGAGTAGGAGTATTATATCTTAGAGATAATTGTTGAGGGGGCTACACCTGACCTCGAAGATACAATTAACAGATTGGTATGGCTCAATCTGTCAAATAGAGCAAAAAAGAAGCTATATTAGGGGAGAGAGTTCCCCTACATTAATATTCTAGACCTCTTATCAGTACATCAAAAAATAATAATTAACTGACGTAGAAGTTAGCTTTATCATATTTGTGTCTTATACTGGGAATAGCTGGGTTTTGTTAACTGGAAAAGTACTCCTATAGCCTCTTTAAAAAGAGCTTTCTATGGATGATTTCATAATGCGAAAATTCATTTATACTATCAATATGCAATTACTTTGTGTGTTTAATTACTATTGCACCGACAATATAAAAATATTGATACATTATCAGGTCTCTAAATGATAACTTCTCAGATATAACTGTCCATAAAAATGGGATTAATAACCTAGGAAATCGTGTTTGTTGCCTGGTATAACAATTAAAATACATTGATCGGGCACTTTAATATTTTGGCGTTGAGAGTCTATATAAGTTAAATAATGCGTAGTAACTTAGTAATAACAAGTTAATTAAACATATGATATTTTATATTGATGGTATATTAATGCATACTTGTAACTTAAAATCATGAAATAATGCAGACCTGCTACACTGCTGACAGAAGCGTTGTTCAAGGCCAAGAACCACAACTTTAGGAGCCTTAGCATGCATTGCACACACTTTATGTCGTCTGTGATAAGCCTTGGCATTCACCAGTGCCACCTGGCATCCCTCCACCTGACACCTCGGCACCACCGCTTCCGCCGCCCCATCACCACCAGGGAAATGGTGTTTCTTTCTCTTGTTCATAACAAACCCCACCACCTCTCCACCGCCGTGAGGCCGCGCCTCATAATTTTCAATACAATGCCTTTTCCCCAAGTTAAGGTTCAAACACATCAAATTATGGTCCTTTTCTCTTTGGATAAAGTATTCCCTACTTTTATTCACTCCTCTTGCTATTAATTCGGAACCATTGAGCGGACACGTGTAGGTAATTGGATCTTGGTTAAATATGTTGCTACTGTTGTTATAATTCCACTGAATCAACTGGGACTGGGAGGAAGTACTAGTAGTAGTACCAAGTTGCCAGAAGTCCCATGCAGGAGTAGAATTACTATTTTGTTCCCCATTTCCACCATTGTTGCTGCTGCAGCTTTCAATACTATTGCTGAAAAAGTTCCAACCCCCATTTTCCATTGCTTATTTTGTGTTTTTTTTTTCTTCTGGAAGTAGATTAGAGGTACAGTATTATTGACCGGGAAAGGCAAGTAGTACTTTTGTGAATGTAATGGATTGGATAGTTTGCGGAAGTGGTAAAGGGCTTATATTTACTGCTGAATTCAAAATTTAATGCATTTGTACTTTATTTTGTTCCATTTTAGATGACATTTTTCTCTACACCTTTATAATTAAAAACTAGTACTTAGATTATAACTTTTTGTTTTATCTTAGACTACATATTCTCTTAGTGATAAAATTTTCCCACATTCTTAAGACCAGACAGTCTCCTTATATGCTAAGAGTTTTTTAAAAATAAAAATTGTTTACAAGAAAATAACTTCATATAAAAGTAAAGAGAAAGTATTTATTAAAAGTTTAAAGAATNTGAACCTATAATCATCTATCAATGTCACCGATGGCGCAAGGGGCTAAAGGATTCATCGGAATCCCTTTCGCTTAAATTACATCTATGTATATAAGGTTGAATTTCTTTATATACATATATGTTAAATGGTAAATTCCCTTGACTTTTTCACATGCTTTTTTTATCTTTTTGAAACTATTTGATGAAAACCCTACGTCCACCATGTGGATTAATGCCGAAAGCAAGAGATACATCAGATGTGTGTCTTCTTAAAAAGAAGAAAGTAAGGATATGGCATTCAAAGTCGGAAAAAGATTATTGAAGTGGGGTAGGGGTGGAGACTAGTGGACTGTTGTGGATGATGAATTATATTTTTGTTTACCTGTAAAACGGTACAGTTGAATTTATACGTGGTTTTTAGACAAGTGAACTAATTTGATCTTGAAATAATGCAATAATTAAAAATTTGTACAATACTTAGTCTTAAAATATAGATGAAACGGCGGAGATGACAGTTCCAGGAACAAGGTTTCCGGGCACAGCAATGATGAGATCAAAAAGCAAAAAAGTAAGGTTGTATTAAGCTTTGTATAGAATGTTGTAAGTTTAGCGAGAAAATCTATATCCTTTACAATGATAACTGGCCTCATTATTAATAGATGTGTCTAGAGAATGAGGTCCTAGGATCGTGCCCTCCTTTAATGTCAATTATGAGGGTCATTGATGAAGATGTAACGGTGAACATAAATGTCAAATTCTCTGTAACTGGGCTGCAGAATATTCCTTATTAAATGCTACAGGGGCGCAGAGCATTTAATACACATTTATGAATGTTATCTCTTCCGGTGGCAAGTGAAATAGCTGCGTTTGGTCTTCGGCAATCCTCGTCTTGGGTTCCTGTCTTTCCTTTAGATGACACGTGTCATATCATATTTCACCTTATACAAATAGTCCCCCTGCTTTTCGGTGACATAAATTTGTGTTACCGGGAAGTTGGTAGAAATATTCTTTTGGCGGAAATTACTATAACTCCCTCTGAAGGCTTATGACGGTTGATTAGACGCACGTCTCTCCGCATTTAATGCCCCAAATACGCGTCATCCCACGATTCAGCACAACTTTTGCATGTTGACTATCGAGGTAATCATGGCCATGAATTTAGCCGCCAAAATTTTACTTATACACATCATTCATTTCCTTTGCACTTCATAATTTCTCGAGCTTCTGATTTGCATCTTTGTTCTCCATCCTTTCTCTAATTCTCTTCAAACAAAAACTTTTTCCTTCTTCATATTTAATGGATTCTTCCTCCAAGCGTGCCGGTTCTTCAAAGAACAAGAACAAAGCCGAGGACTCTACTCCTCCAACGGTAGGTTCCATCATCCCAAGAAGACTCAGTACCACAAAGGACTTTGAAAAGAAATTTTCTACTGCTAACCCTCATACATGGGCTGTTAGTAGGTATCCTTCTTCCATTCGTCCTTCCAGTATTCCTGCTATGAAGGAAAACTGCCGCTGCCATGAGTTGGATATCATTGTTCATGATCTATCGGAGTGAGTGACCCTTCCCAAGGAAGGTTTTACATACTTTTACATATATCCCTTTACTTTGGGTGTATTTTCTTTGAGTTGAGAGCTTTATTTCGTGATTGCGGAGTTTTGCCTTCGCTACCAGGTGTTTGGCACAAGTAAGTCCTTCAGTGTGTAGGACGGTCGCTTGCCTTCGACGATTGTGCTAGGAGCCTCGAGAAGAGCTAACATTAGCTCGTATGATGAATCTCAACTCCCTCAAAATTTTCCGGGGGGGTATGATAAACCTCTGCAAACGTGGTCACCATGCTCTGTTGACTAGCATGGATGATGATAACGACCGTGGGTGGATGGAACGATTCATTACAGTTGCCACTAATAATATCATTCCGACAACGGCTTCATCCTTTCAGGCCGCTTGGAACCGCACTCGTAAGATCTTTATTTAATATATTTTCTTTCACTAAATATTCTTCTATGGTTGTATCGACTCTTCACCCTTCGCATGTTTCAGCAACTTGATGGATCCCACCGGTGGTGAAAGGCTTAGACCGGTGAGTTCAGAAGATCTTGGTCGTCACAACACCCGAAACTCGTTTGTGGAAAGAAATGGCCCTTAAATATGGGTGGAAGGCCAAAAATATGATAATTTTAACTTACCTTGCTTCTTTGTTTTTGTATATGGAGAACTTGGTTGAACCCTTCTGACTTTTTTACGAAATTAGGTCTACCTGTGGACTCTATTGTTGTCCCTGAGGAGGACATCTTGGTTGATCCTGCTGATGTAGCGAGGCTTCTTCAGGAGGCACTTACTCGAACAGGTATCTCCGGGCCTATTTCAGGCGCAAACATTTCTTTACGGAATCCCCGGTCGGAGGATAAACAACCGAAGAGAAGACGTTCCTCCTCAGTCGGGGAAAAGAATATGAGGGCAAAGACTGATGTCCCCGAGTCATCTGCGGTGGCGATAGTAATCGGTCCTCCTTCCGGGCCGGTCATAGACACCGTGATGATTGATGATGATAAAGAAGCTAGTGATGAGGGAGATTCTCTACATAGAAGACAAAGATCCTCATAATCTCAACAAGATGCTCGATCTGTTGAGAGAGTTGCACCATCGAGGACAGTGCCTCGACACTTTGAGGAGAGTTTGATTTGGTAGATAATGTCAACTCCCATTTTCGGGCACCAATTTCTATGCCCGGTACTGCGGGGCTCAGTATCGGGTCCTTGTCGTCTTTGGTTGGAGAGCATCCAACTGCTAGCACTGCATTTGATGCAGCTGCTTCTCACTCCTCAACTCCATCAGCTTTATCTCCATCTTCACCAATACCAGCAATTGCTACATCACTTCCATTTTCATCCACTCTTCCACCAGCAATTGCTATATGACCTCAATCGGCCGCACCTGCCCATGAAGAAGGTGTTACTCTTCCACAGTCCCTAGTTCATGGGAATTTGGGGTAAACTTATGCTACCCCTTCTTAAGATCCACAAAGGAGAAGGAACGTTACTCTTTCGATCTCTACAGGATGCAACTTGTTATCATGGCCGGTGGATCTTGCTAATTATCTGAAGCCTTTGGCTTTAGAGAAAGACTGGCAAAAGATTCAGGGACTCTCGGGAGAGTGTTTTTTGAACAACGCCATGCACAATGCCGCAGCGGTACGTTCCTTTCTTCTTTTATTTCTTCTTCTATTTTTGGGTGTAAGCATATCCTGAACTTTACCCTTCTTACATTTGTAGGCCAACTTTCTTGCTTACGAGGGCCTTCAGAGGTTGATTCGTGAAAAGGAAAAGATAACCTCCGCACGGGATCAATTTTTGACAGAGCAGGAGCAACATATAGCTCGCCTTTCGGAACTGGAAGCTAAAGCTGCTGAGGTTGTTGTATTAGAAGATTGTTTGCGGCAAAGTGAACATGAAATGGTAACCCTTAGCCAAGAAATTAGTCTGTTGAGGGTTAGAATTGACGAAGCTAGGGCTAAATGGGTTGAAGTCCACAACGATGTTCTTGTTGCAACCGATCATGAGGCTACCTCAGCTGAAAGAGTGATGAACTTAGAGGCAGCCTTGAACTCCAAAATTGAAGAGCTTAATGTTGTGGGGGAGAAATACGCCCAGCTAGAAGAGAAGTACAGGAAAACTATCGATCATAATAGGCTCTTTAGTTCAATTGTCCGCGACCTTGATGTCAACCTCAAATCTACTAGGTCTGCCCGAGAAAACCTTTCTGCCGAGGTAACCTAACTCAAAGAAGAACTCAAGCGCCGAGAGGCTTCCCTCATTGTTGAAAAAACTTACGCCATGTACAGCATAAGGAGAAAAACCTTGGAAGTGGCCAGAGCTGGTGTCATTGATTTTGATGCCAAAATTGCTAAGGCATGCGAGCTTGAGTTAGCTGCTAAAAATGGACTCCCATCGAGGTCTGATGTACCTGGCCCTTCTGGTTCTGGTTCTGGTTCTGAGTTTTCGGGAACTGAAAAGGAATCGGAGGGAGACGATGCTGAAGATCAGACTGGGGAAAACGTCGAGCCATCGGTGGACCCACCTACTTCTCCCGGGGATGCGGACATTTTTCTTCCTCTTGGTTCTGGAGACACTGCAGTTTAGCTTTTCTTTTCTTTTCCCTATTTTGTACTTTTACCGTTTTGGCACGTTCTGGTAGATAAAGACATATTTTTTCTCAAGTATTGCTTGAGTCTTACTTTGGTTTGAATATCCATGCAAGTCTTTAACATTTGCATTTGCTTAAGAATTATGCGCACGTTTTTCTGTTCGCGCTTTACTATGTGTAGTCTCGAATGCATTTTCCTCGAAGCACTTTGGTTCCAAGCATTATCCCTTTTACATGAGGGTTTCTATAAGTATTTGTGCAAGTTTACTTTTTGCATCCTTTCGTGTACGCCTTCGGGTGCATTCTTCCTCGAAGGCATTTTGATTCCGGGCACAAATTCTTCCGAAACCAACCTTTTAACGTGAGGGTTTTCATAAGAGAGGGGCCTCTTATGTTTATGATGCTCTTGAAGAGGACGTCTCATATTTATTACGGCACTAATATTTGAAGTATTTGTTTAACTTTCAAATGACAAAGTTAATTCATTGTTCAAACAAGAAACAAGATAAAAACAAAAGGATTTCATTTCATATAATTCCTTCTATTTTCAAAAGTACAC